CGTGTTCTTTAGTTTATGCGTAAAAAAAAAAGAGAGATCAAGTTTGACGGTTAAGTTCAACGAGGCGATCACGAAGTTTATCCGAAACATTAATGAACGTATAATTTACTTAAGAGGTAGAATTGCTCGCACTGTTGGATCAATTTTTCGTAACTGAAGGAAGCACTTGTATCAATTTGCGAAGCACTGATTATTATGAATTAATATATTACAGTAATTAATCAGCGATTTTCGTTCGGATGCCTTTTCAACCTGACGGTGTAAAAGTGTCATACGTATATAGTCGTTGAAAAAAGCGTTACGACATTTCTTAATTTAACGAGTTTCAAAACAGGTACAACTGCTTTTCAGTTCCATTGAAACTTTTACCGCTAACTGAATTTTACAGTTCAAATTTCCACGACAGATATTATCGGTCTGACTCGACTTATGTTCAATTTTATGCTTAATCTCACTCAATGACTTAATTCTGACTTAATTTTTATTCAATTCAACACGCTTCTGCAACAAAATTCGCATAATGTGGAGGCTTCCTTCTCTAGTTTTTTTTTATTTCCAGCACGTACATCTACGTTTCAATTTTATTAAACTATTTAGTGTTAATTAATGCCGTAGTTTACATTTTACGTCAAGTTTCTGTGATTTGATTTAATCCGTATTCAAAAAAATTCGCATAATCTGGAAGCTTCGTTCTTTCTTTCTTCAACGTACAATTACATTTCGATTTTTTTTTTATTTTCCCCCTTTAAGTTCGTAATTCAAATTCCTACGTCAAATTGTTAGAGATTTAACGTTCATTCGATCTGACTTAATCGTTTGTTCGCAAATCTACGCAGTCCTGAAACTGGTTTCTTCTTAGCCAATTATTATTTTCTTTGTTTAATATGAAAAAGTCCCGTTGAACCCGCGCGCCACGACGCGAAACGCGAAATCGGATTGCGCGATCACACGGCAACAGGCGAGGACACGTGCGAATCCGTTAATCCGCCATGTTAATCGTGAGAATGTCACGAGTCCCTCTCTTGCAGATATGATCGCGAGTGCGGCGACGAGTGTTCGCTCGTCATAATGGAGCGTAATGCACGTTGAAATTGGTCTCACGAAAATCGTATCCAATCGAGGCCGCGACAGGTCCTTGCGTCATTGCCGTTTAAAGGATTAGCGACGGTGGTAGCGGCCGTTCAGCTACCGGTATTTAGCTTTCACTTAAACCGATTGAAACGTGGCAAGGCGTAATTCGCGCGCCCCGCGCGCGGACGTAAATAAAGCGTGGATGATAAATGGAGATTATAAATCGCCCGTTCCTGGATGGGGCCGGAGCGACCGTTGTGAAATTCGTTAAGAACTCGCGCGAGCCGATAAGTTGCGGTCGACGAAATTACGGAAAAAAGAAAGAAAAAAAAACAAGGGAAACAAGAGGAAACGCGAATGAGGTTCGAGAGACGAAGAAGCGCCCGGTTTTGCGAGTACGCTGAGCTTCAGTAAAGCCTTAACATTCACCAGGCGAAGAAACTCAATAGTCTTTCTAATAGTTTGTACCGTGTATGGACGTAAGTATTCATGATGATTGTTAATTATTCGGATAATTTGCTGTTTTTTGAACAATTTGATATCGCATCGTACGCTATGAAAAATGATCGATGGAACATAAGGACACGCAATAACGATCTAATTATATAAGTAATTGAAGGTTGAAATATAAAAATTAATTATTAATGAGTGAGGAAATACGAAAGCAAGTTGAATCGAGTTGAACGAACGCAATTTCAAGACTGTAACCCTGAAATTTTCTACTCGATTTTTGCACTTTTGAGATATTAAATGTACTCGAAAGTCTTAATTATTTGACTATATGAAAATAAAAGCGGAAGCTTGCAAAAAAGACTAAGACTTTTGTATGCTTCGCATACATAATATATTCACTTCATTAAAATCAAGATTTATAAGGTATTGATAACTCTTATCATTTATATACTGCAGTAATTATTTAATAGTTTATTTGAAATACGTTTTAAAGTGACGGTGTAAAGATTTATCATACATATATAGTCGCTAGCGAAAATGTTCTTCCGCGATTTTTATTTGTTCAAAAACAGATCGATAAGAAATATTTTCTGCTAAAATAGAACTAAAAAATTTAGTTCAATTAGACGATTATAAAATTGACTTAACATATTATCGATCATATTTATCGTTTCATTTAACTTACCACAAGAACTAGAATCACTCGTATTATGTAATTAAGTCGACTTTTTGGTTGAAAAAAGTTGGAAAAATATCTACACCACAAGTATGACAATATTTAAGTTTCGTTAATTTTTCACTTTTAACTAAATTTTGTAGTTCCAATTCCTACGTCAGATCGTTGATTTACTCGAATTCTACTCGACTTGACTCCTTTCACCTGATCCTTTTCCCTCAATAAATCATATTCTATTGAATTCATACACGATGGGAACGATTAGAATAAATTAGTGAGTTTTGGCCTGGTAAGTGTTAAGGTTTTATTGAAGCCCACTGTACATTTGAAATAGCTACACAGAGTATCGGAGAGACGATCTCGCTTCGCAGGTGCGCACGAGGGGTTCGGAGGATAAAATTGAAGAGATCGATTATTCAGGAGGGATTTAATGACACGTTGCTCTCTCTACACAATTCGCGCCTCTCGCGCTTTCGCATTCATTCGCGCGAGTTACGAAACTTATCGTCCGTAGCCACTTAATTTTTAAGCATATCGCACTCTCCTTCTCTTTCTCTCTCTCGCGCGCGCGCGGTCGTCGTGGAACGGCCGTCGCGAGATTCCAGGCAAATTGCAATTTTAACGCGCGAGGCCGTGCGTCGTTGCGCAAGGCTTCCACACGGTGCATTCGGTCGCTCGCGTACTCGCCCGAGAGAGAGAAACAGAGATAACAATGCCATTCCTCGCTCGCCACGCGATCGCGGAAAATCGCTGATAAACAAGCGCTCAAAGTGCGTACGAGCCGCAATACTGCGAACCAAACCAGTCCTACGTGTCGTTCGAATGGTATCGCGCAAACCCTTCCACTCGAATCTTCTCATTTTCATACTGACCTTATATATATATATATATATATATATATATATATAATAAAAATATATGTATAAAAATATAAAATATCTCCGGAAAGATTAGGAAATGCTATACACGGAGGAAATATAATAGTTGCTCTTCATACATAAATTCTTTCCTATTCTACCATGTTCCCTATTAGTGCGGGAAACCAAAATTTGTATATATGTATAAAAGTTCATACATATAAAATTTTTTTTAACGAAGAATAGGGTACTTTTATGTAGTTTTTTTCATCATTGTAATAGTCATCACTAAGGGGGACGCTCTCTAAATTTCATCGAGTGAAATTCCACGTCGCAAAGCAACGCGACTGTGCCGGACTACCGAAAGTGGAGTAACTTTTTTATTCGTACAGAATGAATTTCTTCATTCGGAATGGTCAAGTGAATATTTGCATTCGAAAGCGAAGAGTTGAAACCTGACGTACACAGATATCGGCACAGCCTTAACATGTAATGTAACTGTGTGATTAGGGTTTTTTAATCGTAGGTATTGTTGATGCGTTATTTGTTGGTTACTCAAAGAAACGGAAACGACGTGCCAAAGCAGTAATCTACCACTGTGATGGTATTACGTTAATGTCCAAGGATAAGTGTGTTAATTCTTCTGTTGGCACCACTTATTCTTTGCTGCTTGGCTTGGCACATTGGCTCTGTGAGACCTAACAACTTTTTCTAATATGCCTTTTTACTTCAATATTTATCAATGTGCTCGCCTAGTGTATAGATATTAAAGGTAGTTTTGAATATACAAAAGGTAAATTTGAAAAATTTGACGCCATCATTATATTTAAAGTAAATAATTTAAGGTACACGTAAAGATAGTATATTGATTCTATACCGAAAGGAATCAAACATGTTGCATGCTTAAAGAAAACAATTTTATGTTTACACGCGCGATAATTCAACAACGTGCAAAGATTCAACAATGGGAACTGAATTTTTCCCTCAAGTCAATTTGATCCATGAGTGCCGCGCTAGAATAAAGGATCAGGAAGTACTACACGGAGAAAATATTACAACATCATTTCGTATAAATTCTTTCAATCTTACCGAACTTTCGAGTAGTGCAGGAATAGACTGTCAGTAGACAGTCATTTACATCTCGCCAAGAAACATAGCGAATATTTTCACTGGTATCAATACAACGGTACAAATTAAGAATGTCGAGATCTGTCTAAGTTACAAAGTTTTACGGTAATTTCAACCACAAAATTCTCTCCGTGTAGCGATTTAATTACACCGCGTGTTAACACATTACAAACGGTATGCACTTTCTCGTGCGAATTTCAGCGAACCGAAGACAAAATTCCAAACGTTTTTTCTCCATCCTCAATTTCCGCTCGGGATCTTAAATTGAAATAGAAGAAAAAGTATCAGCGACTCATTAACATTACGCGCCGGTCTATGTATTCCACCTCCCGTCGCAGGCGACAAATTCACCGATCGACCGAAACATTCGCTCATAAAGAATCCCCTCCGAGAGTCCCGGTCGAACATTCACTCTCGTGATCCCGAGCGGTGGGTATATTTTCACTGTCGCCTCGAGTGAATGTTCGCGCGTTTCGAGTGCGAGCAATGCCAAAAGGTTCGGAAGAAAGGGAGAAACAGCTGGGGAGAGATAGAGAAAGATAGAGAGTACAATGGTACTCCGGTGGGACTCGCAGTTGAATTCACAGCGCGCACAGACGAGACGCCGAGTTCGGCCGGAGATTAGAGCGGGTGTGATTCGAACAGGACGGCGACGATCGCGGGGGAAGAAGGAAGAGGGAGGGAGAGAGACAGCGGAGAGACCGGCCGATCATCCTCGACGTCTCTCACCTCCTCCAGCGATTGATGAAAATCGCCTCGCGCCTCTGTACCATAAAGGACCGATCGAACGCAATTGACTCATGAAAGTGCCATACCCCTTCGCGGTAATTCCACATCGTTCTCGAGGGCGTCGCGTCGCCGGCGGCGTTCCTTCCCGGCAGGGCCCACCGCCGGCGGTCCTTCTCCTCCGCCGCCTCCTCCTCATCGCTGTCCTCCTCGTCCTCGTACGCCCTGCGCCGTCTCACCGCGCACACCTCCACGCGACGTCGGCGGCGCGACCTCTCCGCCGGCTCCTCCGACGACCGGATCCTGATTATGGTGGCGCCGCTGGTCGAGGAGAAGCGCGGCGACTCGTCGGCCGGTTCGCCGCGCGTCCCGAAACGGTCCTCCCGCTGCTCCTCCGTGGGATCGTTCGCGAGTGCCTCGGTCCTCGGGTCCGGCAGGATCGCGAGTCCTCGCTCGGGCGAGACTCGTCCTTCGGGCGCGCCGCGCAGCTTGCTATGCTCCCGCAGGTACTTGGCGGAGAACAGTCGGTTGCTCTCGTGCCAGGACTTGAAGCCTCTCGGCTCCTTGCCGTCGTCCTCGTGGGATTCGACGTGGGTCTCGTCCTGCCGACCCGGCGGCGTCAACGGCCTCGAGTGCCTGTCTGATTTTCTCTCGGACGCCTCTCTGCCGCGCAAGGAGACGCGTCTTTTCGCGGAGGAGTCGCGTTCCTTGAAAGAGCTCGTCCTGATGGCCGCCGTCGCGCTGTCCTTCTCCTTGAACGGGCTGGCGCCCAGCTCGTCCTCCTGCATCTTGAAGGACACCTTGCCGAACTCGATGTAACGCTCGTTGGCGGTCTTCCTGTCGATGTTGTTCTCGTAATCGTGATAGAGCGTCCGCCCCGGACTCCCCTCCTCGTCCTCCTCCCTGAAGCTATTCCGTTTTTCCGAGTCACTCGCGCGATCCTTGTGGGAAATCCCGCCGAACTCGAGGCTCTTTTCCTTAAACGAGTTCCTCCTGCCGGCATCTTCGTGGGTGTTCCGGAACGAGTTGCTCCTGACCGACTCGTCATCGAAATTCCTCAGCACGATCCTGCTGACGCCAGCCGAGTGTTCCTTGGGAGGGGCCTTCCGCTCCACGTCATCGTGCGGCGAGTCCTTCAGGTAGGTCCTCTCAAATATATTGTCTTGCGTCTTGAGGAAAGTCTTCCTACCCGTCTCCACGCTTGTGTCCTTGAAAGAGTCCTTGCGACACGGCTCTTCTTGCTCCTTGCCGAAGTATGTACTCCTGACGGAGGTTTCGAGCGGGCTCTTCGACAGGTGCCTCTTGTAACCGTCGTTATCCTGATCCTTGAACGACGTCCTTCTCGTCAGACTGGACTCTCGGTCTTTGTTGCCGGCCCTCTTGGATTCCGCCCGGAAGGAATTCTTTTTGCCCACCGGCTCCCGATCGTGTTCCTTCAGGGACTCCCTGCTGACCGGCTCCTTGGGCGAACTTCTCCGAGACGTATCCAAGTCCCGCCTGGGCTCGAGGACGGCCCGCTCGTACCTTTGGATTCTCACGTCGAAGTCCTCCGGCGGACCCTCGTAAGTGTAGCTCCTTCTCTTCGAGCCGTCCCTCGCTCGCGGCTGCTCTCCCTCCTCGTCCTCCCTCGACCTCCTGCGATGGGGCCTGTCGGCGCTGTAGGTGTCGCTCCTTTTCCGGAAACTGTCGTCCTTACGAGACTCACGCTCCTTGTCGGAGAACAGGACCTCGTTGTGCTGCCTCTCCGCGCTCCTCGACCTCTGATCCGCCGGGCGGCCGACGTCCTCCTCGGGCCTGCCGTGCAGCCTACGCTCGTCCTCGCGATCGTCCTTCGGCCTCTTGCGTTCGTTCGATCGATAATCGAGCGCGTGATCGACGAGCGGCCGGGACTCGGCCCTGACGTCGCTTCTCGTCCTGCCGCGCGCTTCCTTCTCGGGGCTCGCCGATCTCTGCTCCCTCCTGCAGCGCAGCTTGCTCTCCTCCCGCGACTTCAGCCGCTCGATCATCGCCTGGATCCTGCGATCCGGCGACTGGCTGCCGTCCACCGCCAGATTCTCGATTTCCTTCAACAGGATGTCCCGCTCGTCGACCGGCTGCGCCAAGCAGTCCTTGTTGTCGCCGCTTTTGCCGATGACCTTCGACGACCTCCCGCGACCTCGCGACTCCGCGGCCTCTTCCCAGGAGGGGGGCTGCTCCTTCCTCTTAGACCTGTGAGAGCCGTTGAGCTCCCGTTCGGCGGACTCGCCTCGTTGACGATCCTCCCGCGGTAACGAGCCCACGTATCCTTCGTCCCGGTACTCCAGCCGATCCTGCTTGTCCGGCTTCGCGGGCTCGCTTCTGAACTTGCCGTTCGTCAACTGTCGAAGCGAGCTGTCCTCCTGCTCCTGCCGTCGCGACGATCTCTTCGCACCACCGTCGTCCTGCTGCACGATGTCCTTGATCTGCCACGCGGCGAACTGCTGTTTGCTCTTCCTGTAGACCACCTCCGCGCTCTCCTCCTCCTCGCCGGTGTCCCCTTTCCCGCATTCCCGTCCGTTCCGCTCCGCCTTGCTGTCATGCTTCGACATGCCGAAGTGATAACGACCGCCGCGCCCGCCGTTCTTGCACGGCCGGCCGGAGTGCGCTTCCGGCTCGCGGTGGAAGTGCTCCTTGGCGAAGGGGACGGCCCTCGGCGTGTCCTTCACCGCGGAGGGGCCGCGCAGGCGGGACGTCATCTTCGCGAGGAACGGAATCTTGAAGATCGAGCGATATCGTGTGCCTCGCCGAAATTGATCGCCCACGTTATGTGCTGTGTGTGTGTGTGCGCGTATGTACGGGGTGGCTCTTGATTAAAGATCGGTGCGCGTAACGATTAACAGCAGGCTGAGGGTCTCACGTTCGGACCGAAAGATCTCTCTCCTCGCGGCAGAGAGAGAGAGAGAGAGATGTATTGCACGGCTTCTGTTTTCTCCAGGCGAACGAACGGTGTCGTTAGCTCGTCCCTCTCGTTGCGCGATCTCTCTGGCCTCCGCGAGAGGAGGAACGTAGGCGCGTCGCGGCGTTGAGACACGCACGGTTAAGCGTACAAGCACCAACCTATGATTATTCGCGTCTATCGAACCAGCCCAACGGCTACCGTCGGGCCCGATCCTCGAGGCGGCCGCCGCGCGCGTGTACGTGTGTAACACGCGCGGCCCTCGCACACAGAGTCACCACGACTGCTTGGATTCACCGGGATCCCCGAGATCGGCGGTAGCACCCGGCGGACTCATCGGGGCCGATCCTGCCCGTGAGATCCCCGTTTCGAGATGCCGTCGACGAGCGAGGGAGAAAGGAACAGAGAGAACGAACTACGAGCTAGGAATCGACGGGTCGCGCGGCCCCCTCGCTGTTTCGCACCGACTCTGAGAGCAGAAGCGGCTCATACCGGCCCCGTCGTGGACCAAATCGGGACTCCCTCGATGAAACAGCGAAACGTCGCATCGGGCATCGGGACACGAGCGAATCCTTGAAGGGGGAGCCGTCGCACCTTCCCGAGTCCTTTGTATTCCTCGCGCAAGGACACACCTCCCGAATCTCACGGTCACCCCGCAGCGGCGTCTCTCTCTCTCTCTTTCTCTCACTACCTCTGACCGTCAGGTTTCCTCCAGGAGAGGGCAATATCGCGGATCCTCGCGCGGGTCCTCGCGCCTCGGCGAAACACGCGGCAATGCTAGGACCTCTTCCTCTCGCGCCGAGGCAGCTCCTTCTCCCGTGGAGCGCGTGAGGCCGGCTCTTCGGCCGGGACGACGAAACGACGAGCGCGCACGGAGCAGACGACCCTGAAAGTCGTCTGTGGACTTTCACGAACGCGAGCACTTTGCCGGTCGGAGTCACCACGAGAGTGTGCACCGGAGGAGAGCGTGTTCCTCCTCTCTCCCCCGCTCCCCCTTCCCCCCGCCC